CCCCATAAGTCTTCAACAATTATCCAGCAGTGTTTCTATCTTCTGATAAGATGTTGAATAATATGGAGCTCATGGACGTTGATACAGTGTTCCAGAGTTCGTGGGTCACATAAAAAGATTTGTCCTTGGGAAATGGCAGGCACGGTGGGCCCTACATATGAACAACGAGTTTACAGGCCTCGGCAGGATAAGGGTGTCTGGCCCTCCTCCTCCAACACGAATTATGTAACAAGATTCTCTGTTTTAGAACTGGGCACAAAAAATATAGCCCATAGCTTTCTATATGCAGGTGCTGCTGACACACTGCGTGACTTGTGCGGAGCTGACAGCGGAGCTGACAGTGGAGCTGACAGTGGAGCTGACAGTGGAGCTGACAGCGGTGCTGACAGTGGAGCTGACAGTGGAGCTGACAGTGGAGCTGACAGCGGAGCTGACAGTGGAGCTGACAGTGGAGCTGACAGCGGAGCTGACAGCGGAGCTGACAGTGGAGCTGACAGCGGAGCTGACAGTGGAGCTGACAGTGGAGCTGACAGTGGAGCTGACAGCGGAGCTGACAGTGGAGCTGACAGTGGAGCTGACAGCGGAGCTGACAGTGGAGCTGACAGCGGAGCTGACAGTGGAGCTGACAGCGGAGCTGACAGTGGCACACATGCCTGTAGGCACCTTGGTAACCTGTTCCCAGCGTCTTCTGACATTCCCAATTTCATCATATTTTGACTGGGTTATTTATATATTTTTTAAATTAGTGATTTTTCGCGTTGAGTATTGTCATAGTGGAAGTAACTTAATTTGTTTTTCTTAACTTTACCTTGGACGTTCTTAAATGTATTTGGTATTTATATTTGTTGGTCAGAACGCTCAGTGATCTACCTACCTGGAGGGTATTCTGGGGATCAACGCCCCCGCGGCCCGGTCCACGCCCAGGCCTCCCGGTGGATCAGGCCCTGATCAACTAGGTTGTTACTGCTGGGCGCATACAGTCCAACGTACGAACCACAACTCGGTTGATCCAGCACTGACTTAGGTATCTGTTCAACTCCCTCTTGAACACAACCAGGGGTCTATTGGTAATTCCCCTAATGGCTGGTGGGAGGCTGCTGAACAGTCTTGGGCCCCAGATACTTACTGTGTTTTTTCTCAGTGTAATAATGGTGCCCCTACTTTTCATTGAGCGTATGCTGCATCGCCTGCCAAGTCTTGTACTTTCGTAAGGAGTGATTTCTGTGAGCAATTAGGGACCAGTCCCTCCAGGATCTTCCAGGTGTAGATTATGATGTATCTCTCTCGCCTGCGCTCCAGTGAGTACAAGTCAAGTGCTTCCAGGCGCTCCCAGTAGTTAAAGTGTTTGATGGAACTGATGTACACTCTCCAGATCTGCGATTTCACCTGCCTTGAATGGAGATGTTAATGTATAGCAGTATTCCAGCCTAGAGAGAACAAGTGATTTAAAAAGGATCATCACTGGCTTGGCATCTCTTGTCTTGAATGTTCTCATTATCCATCCTACCATTTTCTTCGCAGTTGTGATAGTGACATTGTTGTGATCCTTGAAGGTGAGATCCTCAGACAATATCACTCATAGGTCCTTCACATTACTTTTCCTATCTAATGTATGATGAGAGTTTGTAGTATACTCAGTTCTAGGTATTATTTCCTCCAGTTTTCCATAATGAAATAGTTGGAATTTATCTTTATTGAACATCATATTGTTCTCTGTTGCCCATTGAAAAACTTGGTTTATATCTTCTTGGAGCTTTGCCGTGTCCTCAATGGATGACACTCTCATGCAAATCTTAGTATCGTCTGCAAAGGATGAAACAGTCCTATGGTTTACATCTCTGTTTATGTCTGATATGAGGATGAAGAACAGGATAGGGGTGAGTACTGTGCCTTGTGGAACAGAGCTCTTCACTATGGCAGCTTCCTATTTAACTCTGTTTACCACTAGTCTTTGTGTTCAACTGGTTACAAAGTTGAAGATCCATCTTGCTTACTTTGCCAGTTATCCCTTCAGCACGCATTTTGTGTGCTATTACACCATGATCGCACTTGTCAAAGGCTTTTGTAAAATCTGTGTATAGTACATTAGCATTTTGTTGGTTCTCCAGTGCATCCAAGACCATATCATAGTGCTCCAGCAGTTGCGAGAGGCAGGAGCGACCTGCTCGGAACCCATGTTGCCCTGGATTGTGCAACTGTTGGGAATCCAAGTGCTTTGCAATCCTACTTCTTAGAACTCTTTCAAATATTTTATATGGGACGTTAGAGCTATTCGTCTACAGTTCTTAGCTACTGCTTTGCTGCCACCCTTATGAAATGGGGATATCCGTTGTTTTTAGTGACTGTGGAATCTCACCTGTGTCTATGCTCCTTCCCCATAGTATATTTAGAGTCCGCGAGAGTGGTTTCTTGTAGTTCTTAATGATCACAAAGTTCCACAAGTCTGGGCCTGGGGCTGAGTGCATGGGCATGTTATCAATGGTTTTCTCAAAGACTAGTTGAGTTAGGGTTATGTCAGAAATTTGGCATACAGTGGCAGGGTTTTGAGGTTTATTCATGAAAAATATATTTGGATTGTCTATCATTAGACTGATTAGTTTTTCATTAAACGAAGTCGCATTGAGATTTCAGTATCTCATTCATTTCTTTGTTGTCATCTGTGTAGGATTCGTCTTGTCTGAGCAGGGGCCCTATGCTAGATGTGGTTTTTGCCGTGTTTCTGGCATATGAAAAGAAATATTTCAAATTTCTTTCAATTTCACTAATCACTTTTAGCTCCTCTTGTTTCTCCTGGATCCTGTACGAGTCCTTTAGCTTTACCTCAATATTTTCCACTTCCCTGGTTAGTGCTTCCTTCCGTGTTTCAGATAATCTGGCATTCTTGAGGAGCTCAGTGATTCTTCGCCTTCTCCTGTAGAGAGAGCATCTTTCTCTCTCCAGTTCTCTTTTTCTCTTAGGGGAATATGCCTTGAACATACTTCAGCTACCAAGAAGTTGATTTTTCAAGGCACTGTTTAGGGTTCGTGTTATATAAAATATCTTCCCAACATGTTTCATTTAGAGCATAATTTACCTGGTCCCAGTTGATGTTCTTGTTGAAGTTGATGTTCTTGCTCTTGAAATTGAATTTGGTAAAGGTACCCTTACATTTATATAAATTTGGCTGATCAGGACTCCTGTGCATGTAAGTCTGGACTTCGATTAAATTGTGATCAGAATTAGTTGTTTTTTATATTGTTATGTTTCTTACCAGGTCCTCATTGTGAAAATAAGGTCAAGGGTGTTCTCCAGCCTCGTTGGCTCCACTATGTGCTGACTTTGGGTGTGTTTATTGCAGAAATTCAACAGCTAATCTGTGTGTGACTTTTCGTCTGAGAAGCTCCAAGGATTGATCTGCTACAATATTATTTGCTACATTCATCCATTTTGTATATCTTAGATTGAAGTCACCAAGCAGCAAGATGTTTGGGGATGGGGCTGGAAGGTTTTCCAGACAGTAGTCAATTTTTGATAGCTGTTCCTTGAACTGTTGGGAAGTTGCATCTGGTGGCTTATATACAAGTACAATGACTAAGTTTTGGTTCTTGATTTTTACTGCTAGAACTTCAAGTACATCATTTGTGGTGTTCAGTATCTCCGTGCAAATACGCGACTCTTTGACACACCTAATGGGTGTTCCGGGGGGTCAACGCCCCCGCGGTCCAGTCCTTGACCAGGCCTCCTGGTGGATCAGGGCCTGATCAACCAGGCTGTTGCTGTTGGCTGCACATAGTCCAATGTACGAACCACAGCTCGGCTGATCCGTTACTGACTTTAGGTATCTGTCAGGGGTATATTGGTAATTCCTTTATACGTGGTGGGAGGCTATTGAACAGTCTTAGGCCTTGGACATTTACTGTTTTCTGTTAGTATACTCACGACACCCTTACTTTTCACTGGGGGTATGTTGCACCGTCTTTTGCTTTCACAGGGAGTGATTTCTGTGTGCAGATTTGGGACCAGTCCCTCTAGGATTTTCCAAGTGTAGATTATGATGTATTTCTCTCCTGCGCTCAAGAGATTCCAAACGTTCCCAGTAATTAAGGTGCTTGACTGAAGTTACATGTGCAGTAAAAGTTCTCTCTACATTCTCTAGATCTGCGATTTCTCCTGCCTTGAATAGAGCTGTTAGTGAACAGCAATATTCAGGCCTAGGGAGAAAAAGTGATTTAAAAAGGATCCTCATTGTTATGGCATCCCTTGTTTTGAAAGTTCTCATTATCCATCCTATCATTTTCCTCGCAGATGTGATAGTGACATTGTTGTGTCTTTAGGTAACCTTCAAGTATGTCCAGTAACACGATACATCACACTCTTCAACAACATCTACTCCAAAAACACTTTCACCAACTTCACCAACATCACCAGCACTTAACAATACACCTTTCCAACACTGTCTACCCTCAGACACTCCCAAATACTGTCTATCCTCGACTCTCACTAACACTATCTACCCTCGACACTTACCAATACTGTCTACCCTCACTCATCAACACTGTCTACTCTCAGACACTCGCTAACATTGTCTACCCTCAGTCACTCACCAACACTGTCTACCCTCAGACACCAACATTGTCTACCCGCAGACACTCACCAACATTGTCTATCCTCAGACACTCACCAACACTATCTACCCTCAGACACTCACCAACACTGTCTACGCTCAGACACTCACCAACACTGTCTACGCTCAGACACTCACCAACACTGTCTACGCTCAGACACTCACCAACACTGTCTACCCTCAGACACTCACCAACACTGTCTACCCTCAGACACTCACCAACACTGTCTACCCTCAGACACTCACCAACCCTCTCACTCCTTGCTACTCAACTATCTCTCAAACACTGTTCACAAACACGCCAACATGATACATCCTCTCAGAACTCCTACCAATCTGACACGCATAATTAATATTTTGACAAAGTTGAAATTACAAGATATCTCAGAAGACTAACCTCAACACCGTCGAACCTGGAGAAGCAGTGTATGTACTGGATGAGGTCGAGGGAAGTGAGCCACGACTTACATTCCAGGTGGGGTCGTCGAGGAAGCCAAGACATCCTGCGCAGGGAGGCGCCTCGACGGAGACTCGACACCAGCGACCCGCCTAGAGGGAGAATGTGTCCAGGAATTAATGCTTGTGTTTTTGAATTATCACTGTATACACCACGTTATGTGGATACTTTTTACACAACACTTGGATACAGAGCTCAGCAGGTGCTGCAGCTTTGTTACTCATTTAATATTTTCGCCCAGGAGAAGATTTTCAGCAGGAGAGGAGTTTAGCGACATTGATGGTGGTTTTTAGTAGTGGTGGTGGCTTTATAATAATAATCTTAATTACTACAAGCACATGTACAAGGTATACAGTCCTAGCTGACATCAATGACATACTACTATATAGAAAGCCGCTTGTTATGCTGAGCATTTAGGGCAAATTAGATAAATTGTGTACTCAGGATGCGACCCACACCAGTCGACTAACACGCAGGTACCTATTTGACTGCTGAAGAGAGACATCAGGTATATTAAGGAAATACATTCTAATTTTTCCACAGTACAGGGAATCGAACCACAGACCTCAGTGTGTGAGCTGAGTGCGCTACCAATCGAGCTAGAGTAGTATTGGTGCAAAGTGTTCAGCAGTGACAGTAGGTGACTGGATGAATGTTATCTTCAGGCCTATTTTTTTTACCATTTAAATACAGTAAATAACACTTAAATACAGTGAAAACTATAATTTACTGAAAAATTAAATTACTATAATATATTAAGATGGTAGAGCAAGACCATATGGATATATAAAAGGCCTTCTGTGTATCCATCTGCTCTTGCGCTACCGTCCACAGGATGGATATGGGGTACACAATAACTAGCCACTTCGGTGACAAAATCTAGGATTTTCTAAAATATAGTGCCTACACAGTTTTACAGTGAACACAGTATTTGTGGAGCCTCCAGCAGCGAGGCTACTGACGTCCACCAAATATATCTGACATAATTCAGAATATACGTAAATATAATTATAATCTAAAATTAACTTAAAAAGTCGGAGTTTAAGGTAAAACTATAAAGAAAACAATATTACCAAAAAATATGACATTAAAAGCATTAGGAAATACCAAACTAAATAATCAGCAGGAAAATCCTGGATGTGTGGAGGGTGAGGCGGCTCTGGTGAGAGGTTCTTAATACGAGGAATTGAAATGTAGATAAATGGTTGAAAAAACCCACAAGTTGATAAATTAGACACATGTACAACAGTTAGGTATCTCTGAGGAAATGTTTCGCCACACAGTGACTTCATCAGTCTAAAGGAGAATGGTGAAGATCACGAGTCTGAGGTAATTAGATTGGTGGACTAATTACCGTACCAATTACGTCGACTCTAGACTGAGGGACTGATTACCTTAAACCCCTTCTGATCGTCACTGTTCTCCTTTGTATTGGACTAATAAACTCAATGTGTGGCGAAACGCTTCCTAAGAGATCCCAAGTGTTGCACAAGGGTCTAATTTATAACGAGGTACTGGAGGTACCTTTATCTTGCTGGTATTAAACCTGTTTACCTCTGGTTCCCCAGGTTTCCCAGGTTCTGTATACCTATACCCTTGATGAGTTCCCAGAGTTTTCTACTCCCGGAGCCCGGCCTTGGGGCAGGCTTAAAGCTGCTCAGTTGTATAAAAAAGTTACCAGCATGGAAGGCTTAATCAAAAAATATCGCATCAAAAACAGAAATTCAGTTTTTCCCATTTCTTTCGAAAAAGGAAATTGGGATCCAACAGGACAAAATCAATCCAAACTTTTCTTCAAGGTCAGGTTAGGTTAGGTTAGGTTAGGTCAGGTCAGGTCAGGTCAGGTCAGGTCAGGTCAGGTAAGGTAAGGTAAGGTAAGGTAAGGTAAGGTAAGGTAAGGTAAGGTAAGGTTAGGTTAGGTTAGGTAAGGTAAGGTAAGGTAAGGTAAGGTAAGCTAAGGTTAGGTTAGGTTAGGTTAGGTAAGGTAAGGTTAGGTCAGGTCAGGTCAGGTCAGGTCAGGTTAGGTTAGGTAAGGTTAGGTAAGGTTAGGTAAGGTTAGGTTAGGTTAGGTTAGGTTAGGTAAGGTAAGGTTAGGTTAGGTTAGGTTAGGTTAGGTTAGGTTAGGTAAGGTAAGGTAAGGTAAGGTAAGGTAAGGTAAGGTAAGGTAAGGTAAGGTTAGGTGAGGTTTGTCAGGAAACAAAACAAGTGTTTCCTGACGCGGGTCTTATTCATATGATGACCCGCAGGTGGAGCTTTTGGTCATCTGACCGAGACCTTCCCCTGGCTTACTCCTCCACCCCTTTAAAAATCATGGCTATTATACCCTGATTTTTTTCTTTAAAACTGACCAGTTTTGAGTAAGTAAAAAAGTAAATAATAAGTAAGAAAGTCTTAAGTAAGTTAAGTGTACATAATAACTTTAATAATGGTAGTGAGAACACGAAGAAATTAAAGACACACGAAAGAACTTTAAGTTAATTATCTTAGGATAACCAAATAAAGTCACTGTGACGTCTGACCAAATAAAGTCACTGTGACGTCTGACTAAATAAAGTCACTGTGACGTCTGACCAAATAAAAGTCATGTGACGTCTGACTAATAAAGTCACTTGTGACGTCTGACTAAATAAAGTCACTGTGACGTCTGACTAAATAAAGTCACTGTGACGTCTGACTAAATAAAGTCACTGTGACGTCTGACCAAATAAAGTCACTGTGACGTCTGACTAAATAAAGTCACTGTGACGTCTGACTAAATAAAGTCACTGTGCGTTGACTAAATAAAGTCCTTTTGACGTCTGACTAAATAAAGTCACTGTGACGTCTGACTAAATAAAGTCACTGTGACGTCTGACTAAATAAAGTCACTGTGACGTCTGACCAAATAAAGTCACTGTGACGTCTGACTAAATAAAGTCACTGTGAGTCTGACTAAATTTAAAATCACTGTGACGTCTGACCAAATAAAGTCACTGTGACGTTGATAAATAAAGTCACTGTGACGTCTGACTAAATAAAGTCACTGTGAGTCTGACTAAAAAGTCACTGTGACGTCTGACTAAATAAAGTCACTGTGACGTCTGACTAAATAAAGTCACTGTGACGTCTGACTAAATAAAGTCACTGTGACGTCTGACCAAATAAAGTCACTGTGACGTCTGACCAAATTTAAAATCACTGTGAGTCTGACCAAATTAAAGTCAAATGTGACGTCTGACCAAATAAAGTCACTGTGACGTCTGACCAAATAAAGTCACTGTGAGTCTGGGCTAAATAAAGTCACTGTGACGTTCGACCAAATAAAGTCACTGTGACGTCTGACCAAATAAAGTCACTGTGACGTCTGACTAAATAAAGTCACTGTGACGTCTGACCAAATAAAGTCACTGTGACGTCTGACCAAATAAAGTCACTGTGACGTCTGACCAAATAAAGTCACTGTGACGTCTGACCAAATAAAGTCACTGTGACGTCTGACCAAATAAAGTCACTGTGACGTCTGACCAAATAAAGTCATTTGTGACGTTGCTAAATAAAGCCCACTGTGAGTTGACCAAAAAAAGTCACTGTGAGTCTGCCAAATAAAGTCACTGGGGACGTTGCCAAATAAAAGGGTCACTGTGACGTTGACCAAAATTTAAAGTCACTGTGACGTCTGACTAAATAAAGTCACTGTGACGTCTGACTAAATAAAGTCACTGTGACGTCTGACCAAATAAAGTCACTGTGACGTCTGATCAGAAGAAATATTTTACAGTTACTTCACATAAACGACTTTAATAACACTGACACATGATAACTTACACAACACATCGGTAAAAGGAAGTTTCAAGCCCACCAGAAGATGCATTTACTGACCCAGACTAAACCCGTGAAACGTTCCATGTATTTCATACAAAGCATCAACAAATGAAGACTGATGAATTCCAGTTCCTCTCATCAGCAAATGAATGCAAGAAGGTCAAATAATGCTGTACCATTTCGAGATTAAAAGTGGCAGAATGATGTTAGAACATAATGGTGGAGCACTGCAGCAGGCCTACTGGCCCATGCTGGGCACGTCCTTCTCAAATCCACACCCAGTAAACAAAAATGTTTGCCCAACCCAGGGAATAAGCCGTGTTAGTCCTATTAACCTGGTGTGCAACTCCCACTCAGATCCAACCCCTCTCACGTATTCATCCACTCAACACACTCCATGAAGAGTTCAGTTGAACTCTTCTCCAGGCTGAGGGACTGACCACCTCAAACACAACATTACTACACCTGCTGCTTCTGTAGTTGACTGAAGAAGCCTACTGTGTAGGCTGAACGTTTCAACAATAAAGCTACCCAAGTGTTGCACGTGTGTCTTAATCTTGAGATACGATCCTGGACGTAAGATGCGTCACCCACTAAATATTACAGCAGTTCACAAGACCTAAACTGAAATTTATTTAACGTGAATAAAAAGGAATAAAACTTTCTTACAATTTTACTCAAATTTTTTTAAATCTACGCCAACACTGTGTGTGTGTGTGTGTGTGTGTGTGTGTGTGTGTGTGTGTGTGTGTGTGTGTGTGTGTGTGTGTGTGTGTGTGTGTGTGTGTGTACAAGCATCAGACACACAAGCACGTTGCAGTGACTGAGAGAGGCAGTACACACCCCACGCCTCGACAGTTCCCACAATGAAAGGTTTGTTTGCTTGCAAACAGCTGAGGCTTCAGCACACTCAGTGTGTGCGTGTGTTCAGCAAACACACTGTAGTGATGGTCAGCATTAACAAGTGTGACCAATGTCTGAGTAAGACAGTCATGATGGCGAGATCCGCCATGATAAATTGAGGGAATTGTTAAGATTAAACAGCACAGAAATGTTTCACACAGGTCAGACGTCTTGCACTCTCACTGCTGGAGTTTACCTGAGTTACTTCCGGAGGTCACCGCCCCCGTGGCCCGGTCCCAGACCAGACCTGCTGCTTGCTGGCCTGATCGATCAAGCTGTTAGTGCTCACCTCCCATAGTCCAACATATACACCATAACCTGGCTGATCAAGAACTCTTGTGAGAATCATCATGAATGAAGGGAGGTGTTGAAGAGTCGTTGTCCCCTA